CCATCGCTTGGCATCTGCTTTCCTAAATAAAGTGCATACCCACAGACTGATTGGGTGCCACCCCTTTACTTTCCCTAGGTGACAAGCCAGGGTTTCTATGACAGAATCTGATGATTGGAGGTGGGGACCAGGGCCTTGGTGGTGCAGCTGTGCTACCCGTCACCCTCTCTCCAAATGCAACTCATCATTCAGGCTTCCATCTTCCTGCTGTGCAGTCACTTCTGCTTCAGTAGTGTCCTGCACGACACATAGGAGGAGCCAGGCTACTAAGGTGCCCAGTACCTGATTGTCCTTCTTAGCCTTACAGACCTCACCTCCCAGCAGGAGCTCCAACAATTCTTGCAGCATTCTTGAGGCATTCCTATACGCACATGCTTGTCCCCATATTCTAATAACTGTGTCATGGGGCCACAATTAAAGGCCAATGTCCATCCTGAGATTACGCCTGTGGAGTTCTTTTCTCTCCCATCTCCTCTTGGGAGTCCTAGCTTTTTTGATCTCCTGACCGGCTTGCTAATTATTTAGGTTCAAACCAAAAGGGAAAATCCTTCTGTGCTTATGGTTGCCAACAGACCAAAAAGTGACCAGGAGACAGTCCAAGAAACATTACTTTAATACAGAAAAAATATGGTTTACAAACAGGGAAACTTATTAACTGGGATGAGAACAGTGGTTATTTCCAGTGGCAGCCAGCTGGTCAGTGAAGATTTTTCATGCTAGGAGGGGCTTATGGGTCCATTTTATACTGTATGGTAAACAAGCCTCATATTCTAAGAAAGAAGGGAAGGAAATATGAGTAGAGTCTATCTCCAGCTGAGATTTGTGTAAAAACAGAAAAACAGCCTGTTGTCAGCTGCCTACTATTCCATAATAGATAAGTAGCTAGTTCATGGGAACATAGAGTTTCAGTATGCAGGGTCAGGAGTATATGTTAGCAGGGAAGAGAGGGGGAATGACAGGGCATTTCTCCTAGGTTGACATTAATGTGACCATTTTGGAGCATTCAACTTTTGTCTGTACAACAAGGAAGCTGACTCAGTGTAAATCAATATGTTCCTTAGCAAATTCACAGAATAAAAGCTGATTGGTGATAGAGCCTCCAAATTCCTAATATTAAGGAAAGAAGTGAATTAATTCCCCTAGCCATCACTTCCTGAGTGAGAGGACTGCCGTTTGGCTCAGCATTCAAATATTTTAGGAATTATGAGGATATTTATAAAAAGGGATTTATTTTCAAGTGCTTAGCAGCTTTCAATATGAAAAAGAAAAATAATTTCTGCTTTTCTTTTGTTTGTTAAATTTTCTGGTTGTGTCGTGTTATATTTTGCTTCAGATAGAATCAGATGAGAGAACCAGAGGTTATAAGAAAGCTGAATCAAGTTAATCTAAGAAGTGGTCATTATATAAAGATTTGTTGTTGTTGTTGTTGAGGGCTGTCCAGTCAGTTCTGACTCATAGTGACCTTGTATAGGGTTTCCAAGGCTATAAATCTTTGCAGGAGCAGAAAGTCTCATCTTTCTCCTGCAGAGTGATTGGTGGGCTCTAACTTCTAACCTTGTGATTCACAGTCCAGTGCTTATATCCTACAGAACCATCACACTCTCTATTTAAAATTTAGGGCTGTCTAAAAGTGGATTATAGGAATACCAATCAGTGATTTATTACAGGAATTTCATGCTCAAATAATGTTTAGACAAGAAGAAATTAACAACCTTTCAACTCAAGTTGTTAAGTGTCATCAAGTCAGTTCCAACTCATAAGACTCTGTGTAGGGTTTCCAAACAACAGACTGGTGGACTCGAACAACCTACTTGTGGTTAACAGTTCAGTGCTTATCCTACAGTACCACACCAACTCAAGAGTTTTTAATTATTTGTGTCTATAGTTCTGGTGTGGGGCTATAGGGTAAGCACTGGACTGCTAACCACAAGGTTCCAGGTTCAAATCCACGAAATACTCTTCAAAAACCCTATAAAAGGTTGCTATGAGTCCAAATCAACTTGGTGGCACTTAATAACAATAATAACAGTTGTTTTAAACTCAGCTATGTTTAGAAAGCCACATGTTCTCGGCCAGGTGGTATCATTGGTGGCGTCAAGTGTGGCAGCGGTAGTGAGGTTGGCCCAGGATCGGACATTGTCTCGTTCTGCTGTGCATGGGGTCACAATGAGTCATTTCTGACTCGATGGCACCTGACAACAATAACAACAACAACTAGCTTTATATTGATTTAATAGATAAGTAGGTAAAATTTTAACATGCTAAAACATTCGGTATATAGAAGGTAGTCAGATCTAGAATGCTTTCTAACACATTTTAGGAAATTGTCAAGGTATAATGTGTATTTATATCACATTGATAGTGATGCCAAGGGATCATAAGAATTAGTGATGTTTGACAGCAGATATCTGCAAAGACTTTAGGAGGTCCAATTTAAAATGTATTTCTTTTCTTAAAATAAAAACACTTAAATGGAATAGTTTGTATCTCCCAAGTAATTTGGATTGCCTCTGAATATTTTGAAAGAGAAGGAGATCTGGTGATACACTGGTTGCTAACCTAAAGATTATCAGTTGCTAACCTAAAGATTATCAAGCAATTCAGACCTCCCAGTTAATCTGTGGGAGAAAGATGTGGCAGTCTGCTTCTGTAAAAGATTGCAGCCTTGAAAACCCTATGGGGTAGTTCTACTCCATCCTGTGGGGTCATGAGGAGTCTGAATTGACTCAACAGCAACAGGTTTGGGTTTTTTTGTGTGTGTTTTACTTCAAAAGAAACTCTTCATTATCTAGATTATTGTGTTTCTTAATTTCTCAGAAAAGCTCTTCTGAACATGATCTGAACCGTATTTCTTCAGGTTTATTTCTAGAATTTCTTTTCTTTACATTTAAAATTTCAGCTATATTAAATTAATTACATGTCCTCAATTATACCATGCTAATTCATGACTATATTCTTTAAAATTTTTTTTTTTTTTTTTGCATGTTGTTCACTTACCCAAATCAGTCTTCACTGTTTTTAAAATTCGCTTCAGATTATGGTGTTCTAAATGGCTTGGGACAGAGTTGTTGATTCTTTTGTCAGTTTTATATCTAATACCTACTCAAATGTCTATTTTTGGATGTATCAGATTATTATTTAATTATTTATATCCTGGTGTGGTACTGTAATAAGCACTGGACTACTAACCACATGTTTCAAGACCACTAGCCACTCCCCAAAAACACTATACAAAGTCATTATGAGTTGGAACTGTCTCAACACTACTTAACAACAACATTTCTATCTTTACTAAAGTGTGTGTGTTTTCAAGTGAGAAGACCAATAATTAGAAATTGAACACCCTTGGAAATAAGTAACCTTTTCCAGGTGTTGTTGTTGTTAAGTGCTGTCAAGTTGGTTCCGACCCATAGTGACCCTGTATAGGGTTTCTGAGGAGCAGCTGGTGAGCTTGAACCGCCAACCTTGCAGCTCAAACCAACTTTGCAGTCCAGTGCATAAACCCACAGTGTCAACCAGGACTCCTGTTCAGGTACACAAGGTAGGAAAATGCATTATAAACAGAGGCACAGAAGCAGAGAAAAAATGTAGTATGCTCAGAAATCTTTAGGCTGGGACATAGGGTACAATTGATAAAGTAGTAGATATTGAAGTTCTTATGGTAAGACCATAAAATATGCTAAGGAATTATTGTTTATCATCACTCCTTAATTTTGATAACGGGAGATACTGAAGAAGCTACTAAACTGTGTTTCCGTTTCCTCAAAAGAAAAATGGGAATAATATAATACCTACCTCATAGGAATCACTCAACAAGTGATTAATACATGTTAGCTACTGCTCCTATTATTGAGTCTTGAGGTGGTTTAAACTGAATGGTTGGATCCACCCAGTAGCAACTCAGAAGGAAGACCTGGAATCTACTTCCTAAAACATCAGCTATTAAAAACATTATGGAGACAGTTCTACTCTGTACACATTGAGTTTCCATGAGTTGAAATTGACTTGACAGTAACTAAATACAATTGTCATCATAATTATTGTTGTTATTTATCTTCATTGATAGACTACTCTGTGACAAGATGGTCGAGGACAAAACATTATACTTGGGAATAAGTGAGGGGTTCTGATTAGACGTTGTCATCCTGCAAGGAGAAGAAAAAAGAGTCACATATATTGAGTATACAATGTACTACTGTAGAGTCAATTCCAACTCATAATAGCATTGTGGAACTGATCTGTAGTGTTTCCAAAACTGTGCATCTTTATGAAAGCAGATTGCTTTGCTTTCTCCGACAGAGTAGTTGGTGGGTTCAGGCAGCAGACTTTTTGTTTTGCAGCCTAATATTCAACACACTGCACCACCAGGGAGCCTTTATATTGAATATTGATATTGAATATTGTTGTTAAGTGCCATCAAGTCGGTTCCAACCCCTAGCAACCCTGTAAAGGGTTTCCAAGGAGCAACTAGTGGGTTTGAGCCGTCAACCTGATGGCTATCCGTCAAGTACTTATCCTAGAGTGCTACATCAGGATTCAAATGGAAAGAAAGGGTTGGATGTTCATTTTGAAAACTGAAAGTACATTTAAAAAGCTTATAAGAACCATTCAAAATGGTTGGAGTTGAACCTAGGTTGTAAGGTGTAGGAGAGTGAGTGCAGAACTAAGAAGTAGAAGCAGGAGATGCACATTGCCTGTTGTCTTTAATGTTGTGAATAATGCAATGGAAATACTGGAAAGAATGAGCTTTTATCATGACTCTGAGGATATTTGGTCCAGGAGACAAAGTTCTAGAATTTGATTGAATAAATTGGTTCAATGAAGAGTGAGGAGATCTAGAATTATTATGCCAACTCTAGGCAGAAAAGTCAACCACAAGTATGGAGAATCAGTGGACACCCTAGTCTCACTGTCCAACTCCCTACTTCTTTTTTTTGCTCTATCATGAGAGAAGACCTAGGCATCATATTCTTTCTCATTGAAATATGATTTTTTTTCAGCCCACAGGGAACCCAGATTTGTTGGAGGAAACATTCCCTGCTCTGGTCGTGTTGAAGTGAAACATGGAGACACATGGGGCTCTGTCTGTGATTCCGACTTCTCTCTTGAAGCTGCCAATGTGCTGTGCAGAGAGTTACAGTGTGGCACAGCTGTCTCTATCTTGGGAGGAGCTCACTTTGGAGAAGGAAATGGACAGATCTGGGCTGAAGAATTCCAGTGTGAGGGCCAAGAGACCCATCTCTCACTCTGCCCAGTAGCACCTCGCCCAGATGGAATTTGTAGCCACAGCAAGGATGTTGGAGTCATCTGCTCAAGTGAGACCCAGAAAACATTTTTAATTTGTTCTCACACTGTGAAAGGGCTGGGGTACTTAGTCACAGCCTTCTTTTCTAACACGTTCTCTTCTAGGATACACAGAAATGCGCTTGGTGAATGGCAAGACCCCATGTGAAGGAAGAGTGGAGCTCAAGATGCTTGGGACTTGGGGAGCCCTCTGCAACTCTCACTGGGACATAGAAGATGCCCATGTCATTTGCCAGCAGCTTAAATGTGGAATTGCCCTTTCTACCCCAGGAGACGCACAATTTGGGAAAGGAAGTGGTCAGATCTGGCGCCACATGTTTCATTGCACTGGGATTGAAAAGCACATGGGAGATTGTCCAGTAACTGCTCTAGGGGCATCACTGTGTTCTGCAGGGCAAGTGGCTTCGGTAATCTGCTCAGGTAAGAGTATGAAGGAAAGTCAGTGATGGACCTCTTATGGTGATGTGCCTTAAGAACAGATGTACAGATAAGCAGGAAGAACAAAAAGACTGAGAAATGCTCCATTTTGAGAGATTGTCAGAATATTACCCTCATTTGTCTAACAAGAAGGGTTGTTGTTGTTGTTAGGTGCCATTGAGTCGGTGCAAACTCATAACAACCCTTTGTACAACAGAATGAAACACTGCCCGGTCCTGGGCCAACCTCACTATTGTTGCCATGTTTGAGCCCATTGATGATGCCACTTTGCCAATCCATCTCACTGGGGGTCTTCCTTTCTCTGACCCCTCCACCTTACCAAACATGACATCTTTCTCCAGCAACTGGTCCCTCCTGACAATATGTCCAAAGTATGAGAGATGAAGTTTGGCCATCTTGGTCTCCAAGGAGCACTCTGACTGCACTTCTTCCAAAACGGATCTATTGGTTCTATGGGGAGCCCATGGCACTTTCAATATTCTCCTCAAACACCATAACTCAAAAGCTCAATTTTTCTAGTGAACTTAATTTTCATGGGCCTCAAATGATTATATTTGGGAGAAATATGAAGATTTCGGATCCCATAAAGATTTATAGCCTCAGAAACCCCATATATGGTTGCTATGAGTTGGAACTGATTTGACAGCACACAGCCATCATCACCACCAATATCCAGGATATCTATTTTCAAGCACTCCATTTCATTTTCAGCTAGTGCCAATTTTCCTAGATTCATAATTTGTACATTCCATGTCCTGATTATTAATAGATGTTTGCAGCTGCTTCTCATTGTACATCATGCCAGATCAGCGAATGAGTCCTGAAAGCTTTCCTCCATCCATATCTTTAAAGTCAGCTCTATTGTGAGGAGGCAGCTCTCCCTCAGTCATATTTTGTGTGCCTTTCAACCTGAGAGGCTCATTTTCTGGCATTAGATCAGATAATATTCCATTGTTATTCATAAGGTTTTCAAGTAGCTATTTTTTCAGAAGTGGACCGCCTCTTCTTTCTTCCTACTCTATCTGTCTTATTCTGGAAGCTCTGCTGAAACTGGTCCACATGGGTGATCCTACTGGTATTTGAAATATTGGTGACATAGCTTCCTACATAACAGCAACATGCAAGCTGTCACAGTAAGGCAAACTTATTTTAATTTATTAGACAGATAAGTGATGGTTGTTATACTATTACTTACTATATGCCAAACCTTCCTCAAAGTACCTTAACACTCTCAGTCTGGTTGACCCTCCTCCATTTTTTCATTCTCTCTTTAAAGTACGGGTGTCCCTAGTTCATTTGTATAACACTCCATATGACCTCCATTCTTCTCCGAAACACTTTGAGTCTTGTATGACTAAGCAATTTGATGTTTGCAGGAAACCAGAGCCAGACATTACAACTGTGCAATTCATCTTCCTTGGATCCAATAAGCTCTCTCATTCCAGATGAAAGTGCTCCTGTCTGCATAGGTGAGAATTGGTAAACCATCTATAAAAATGATATCAATCTTTATGAATGTATTTTATTAATATTTTCTATTATTTTCTCAGGGAGTGGCCAACTTCGCCTGGTTAATGGAGGAGGTCGCTGTGCTGGAAGAGTGGAAGTCTACCACGAGGGATCCTGGGGCACTGTCTGTGATGATAGCTGGGACATGAAAGATGGAAATGTGGTGTGCAGACAGCTGGGCTGTGGAGTGGCCATTAATGCCACTGGTTCGGCTCATTTTGGAGAAGGAACAGGATCCATCTGGCTGGATGAACTGGACTGCAATGGAAAAGAATCTCATCTTTGGCAGTGCCATTCACATGGCTGGGGGCGGCACAATTGTAGGCATAAGGAAGATGCAGGGGTTATATGCTCAGGTAAATTCTATACATACCCTCTGCATAAGAAAGGATTGAGTAGGGCTAAAGGATAGCCAGGGACATTAATCTGAGAGAATCCCTTAAAAAACAGGTTATAAGGAATGATTGCAGAAGTCAGAATTTCAGAAGTGTAGGTTGATGAGTTAGTACTACCTCATATGCAAGGTAGTATAGTATTCAAAGAGAACAATCCAGGATTGCAGATCATGAAAACTACAACAAAGTGAACAATGAGGAATTCTTTCATAAATAAGTGTGGAGTTGGATACTGGACAAGGGCTCAGGGGCACACTTGAAAATCATAGCACTGATAAAGAAGTGGAGTCCTGGTGTGTCGCTGTAGGATAAGCGCTTGATGGCTAATCACAATGTCAGTGGTTCAAACCCACCAGTTACTCCTCAGAAACCCTATACAGGGTCCCTATGAGTCTAAACCAACTTGATGGCACTTAACAACAACAATAACAATAAAGAAGTAGATTAAGGAGGAAGAGAATAAATATGTTTAATGCACCATTCTTAGGAGAAGAAAATAATGACCATTCCCAAGTAATTCTTTATGACAAACAAGTGAGACTTACCTGTCATAAGAGCAAACCTTAACCTAAGACACCACTGCTCTTGCTTTGTATGCATGGCACATTTTGGAAATGATTGTGGTATAGGAAAAATGTATTCAGTTGTAATATTGGGCAAAATTATACTGTAACTCACTAACTTTGGGAAGCCAATACTTCAATATGTCAGCAGATTTTCTGATGTTATTCTTTCTGAATGACATAAATTTAGTAAACACATCACTAAACCATGAAGTGTCAGGAAAGGAGGTATTTCATTTTAAGATAATGCACACAAAACTTTGGCTTTAATGAGTGAGTGTCTTAGTGCCTTCTCACTCAGTTAAAAAATATTTAATCATATTTTCTGTGAAGGTTCAGCTTCCCATTCAACAATTTCTACACGTATTCTTCAGTGACATTGGTTAGTTTTTTCACAATGTATGAGCATTCTCATTATTTCCATTCTAGTTGTTTCATTTCCATTAATCTAGTTTCACACACACACACACACACACACCTGCATTTTCATCTTTGTTTTAAAGTAATTGTTGATTGTTTGGTCTCATATAGGCGATTTTAAAAAGGAGCACAGTAGTTAAATTCATTGTTTTTTTGATGCTCACTCAATTTTAATTATCAAGAAAATTTGTAAGCATAATAAAGAAGTACAGTAAGACTCTTGAAGCTTAAATTGCTCCCTAAAAAAGTAATTTGTGTGGGAAATCCAAACTACTCAATTAGAAGAGGTTCTAAGGCTTTGACTGAGATCTGGAAAGTGTATAAGTATTGGTTACATTCTAAAGAGGCCCCTGAGTATAAAACTAAGCACTAGAAAGGAATAAGATATTTTATAAATACTAGATTATATTGAAATTTATTAAGTTGTCAAAAAGTTACCAAAAAATTACCAGTAATTGACACACTGTTCCTGTTTTAAAAATCATTGTCACATCAGCCTAAAGAGAAAGTCCTCTGAATCTTCAGAGAAGCTATGCAACTACTAACTCTTTATTTCACCCCAGAGTTCATGTCTCTGAGACTGACCAGTGAGAGCAGCAGAGATCACTGTGTAGGACGTCTGGAAGTTTTTTACAATGGAGCCTGGGGCAGTGTTGGCAGGCATGACATGTCTCCAACCACAGTGGGAGTGGTATGCCAGCAACTGGGCTGTGCAGACAAAGGGAGCATCAGACCTGTATCTTCAGACAAGACATTGTCCAGGCCCATGTGGGTAGACAATGTTCAGTGTCCAGAAGGACCTGACACACTATGGCAATGCCCATCATCTCCATGGAAGCAGAGACTAGCTAGTCCCTCGGAGGAGACCTGGATTACATGTGCCAGTGAGTACCCAGTGATCTAAATGGAAAATCTGCATCTCCACTATCGTATTCTGACAAAGTAAACTAGGTTTTATTTTCCGATTCTCCAGCCAGTTTAAATTGTTAAAGCTAATTACATTGGTATGGGAAACATCTGGTTAATTCCTAGTTCACTTGGATGGTGTAACTGATTTTATTTAATCTGACTATAGGGATTCAGAGCCCTGGTGTGGCGCTATAGGATAAGCACTGGACAGTAACCACAATATCAGCAGTTCAAACCCAGCAGCCACTCTTGGAAACCCTATACAGGGTTGGTATGAGTCAGAGCTGACTCAACAGCCCAAGATTCAAGATTAGTTATCATTATTCCAAAGAATGTTATTGTACCCATGGTCTCCTTAAAATTTATATCCAACTTTTGCCTCTGTGAATAAATGAAAAGCAGAGAATACAAGACCGAGTATTTGACTGTTGAGTGGTCTGCCTTACTTTTGTTTGTTTTTTCTTTCATCTATTATCTTGCTAGAAGTCCATGAATGGTGCAGATGGTTGAGATGAAATTATGACCTAAAAAGCTAGCAGCTAAAATCCTCCCAGAAACGCTTTGAAAGACACATCTAGCAATGTGTCTGAAAGGTCTCAGCCTTGAAAATCCTATGGAATAGTTCTACTCAACACGTATATGGCTGCTATGAGTCAGGAATCACTTCAGAGCAACTAATATCAGCAACATCATCTTACTCTGTTAATGCAGGCACAGAAACAGTCAGGAAGCCAAATCCGCCATCTTCTTCAATTTGATGATTTCTATGTACCCAACACTCTCTCAGGCTCTTTTCAATTTCAGATGACTTTATGTTTTACAATGAGCCACATACTATTCTAGTGACCAGGATGAAATATACCCAAGATATACTTGCAAAGAAAAGATAAACTTGCAAAAGTATATATTTTTAAATACACATTAAATAAACATGTTCAGAGAATTTAAAAAAAGGTTTCAAGTCTCTCTTCCTCTGTGAATTTCTAGAAGTTTTCATCTTCTCAGCTGGAGAACTAACGTAGGTATCTATGATTTTTCAGACAAGATAAGACTTCAAGAAGGAATGAATAATTGCTCTGGACGGGTAGAAGTCTGGTATGGAGGCTCCTGGGGGACAGTGTGTGATGACTCCTGGGACTTGGAAGATGCTGAAGTGGTGTGCCAACAGCTGGGCTGTGGTTCAGCTTCAAAGGCACTAAAAGAAGCAACTTTTGGTCAGGGAACTGGGCCCATATGGCTCAGTGAAGTAAAGTGCAAAGGGAATGAATCCTACTTGTGGCATTGTCCTGCCAGACCCTGGGGGCACAGTGACTGTGGACACAAAGAAGACGCTGGTGTGGAGTGCTTAGGTGAGTGCCAGGGTGCCACATTAAGTCTGGGGTCTCTGGCAGCAACTAGGGAGTGGGCAATAAAATACATTGCATAAAAACTGGGCACAGGAATAATGAAAATCCTTGCTGCTACATATTGACCTTCAACAAGGAAAAGCACACGTATATATAAATATATATGAAGAGGTAGATAAATACAGAGATAGTTATGTTGTTGTTGTTAAGTGCCATTGAGTTGGTTCCGACCCATAGTGACCCTGTATAGGGTTTCCGAGGAGTGACTGGTGAACTTGAACCACTGACCTTGTAGTTCAAATGGCTTTGCAGTCTGGCATATTAACTCACAGCGCCACATAGCTCTAGCTATATAATAATAGAAGTCCTAATGTGGCACTATGAGTTAATGCGCTGAACTGCAAAGTCGGCTTGAGCCACAAAGTTGGTGGTTCAAGCTCACCAGCTGCTCCTCGGAAACACTATACAGGGTCGCTATGGGTCAGAACTGCCTCAACACCACTTAACAACAACAACAACAATAATGAATTAGAATTGATCCAATGGCAGTAAGTTTGCAGTTTTTGGTTTTATATGGATAATATATAAAGCTATAAAATCAATATAAGTACAGATACAAATATACCCATTCTAAAGGAAGAAAGACTCAGGGATTCTGGTTTTAGTTGGAAAGAAATGATTTAGTTAGTTGAGAAGCACTAACTACTTAGACAAAGAAATTTAAAAAAATTCATTTATATCATACTATCAAAATTAAGACATTTTCCTCTTTTCTCCTGTAGGAATTACAGTGAACAAAGCATCACCAGATTCCACAGGTATGTCACAGAGTTTATGAACATGGGACTATTTCTCTGCATTATTAGAATTCCGCTTATTTAGAGACTTGCATGCAAAGAAATTCCAGGGATTTGAGATTTATTTCAGGCATCTTATATCTTACCTGAAGAGAGAGAGAAATCAAAGACCTGGGGCTTTAGCTAAGATAGTATATCATTTCTGCTGATTTTATTTGTGCTTAGGTCACTCAACCATCATTGCATTGGTGATTTTGGGACTCATTCTCCTGGCCCTTCTCATCGCATTCTTCTTGTGGACTCAGAAACGAAGACAGAGACAGCGACTTACAGGTCTGAGCCAAATAGTGCCTCTGTAATGTAGTGCTTGACGATTAACCAGAGGTTGATAGTTGGAACCCACCAGCTGTTCTGAAAGAGAAAGATGTGGTGGAGTTTCTTCCGTAAAGATTTTCCACCCTGGGAGCCCTATGGAGCTGGCCTACTTTGTGCTGTAAGGTGGCTATGAGTTACAAACTGGATGGCAAGGGATTTGTTTTTTCATTTGTTTCAGTGTACTCACAAATTATCATAACAGGTCATCAGGAGTAACCAATCACTAGAAAAGACACCATGTTTAGTAGAGGGTCAATGAAAACAAGGAAAATCATACATGAGACGGTTTGCTACAATAGTCACAACAATGAACTCAAAACAGACCAAAGATCATGAAGATGGTGCAGTATTAGTCAAGATTTTGTTCTGTTAGACACAAGGTTGCCATGAGTCAGAGTCAACTTGACAGCAACTAATAGCCACAAGATAACGGAGTCCTGGTGTGGCGCTGTGGGTCAATGCACCAGACTGCAAATCCATTTGAACTGCAAGGTCAGCCGTTCAAGTTCACCAGCTGCTCCTCAGAAACCCTATACAGGGTCGCTATGGGTCAGAATCTACTCGATAGCACTTAACAACAACAATGTGTGTACAGGATAAAGGGGTCCTTGGGATGAAAAATATTAATTTTAGGAACAAATGATTAGAAAGAAAGAGCCTAGAAGTGGCTTGAGCAATTTCTCAGCATAGAGAAAACGTAATTTTAGAGTAGAACAAGGTTTTAGGAATATTGATGATTCTTGTATTTTATCTGTGCATATAGTTGGGGCATTATGGAACTGATAGTTCAGAGTGCATATGCAGTGTATGCTTAATTAACAACATTATTTGCACTCACTATATTATCATTCTTCTTGGATCAACTATCAACACTCACAGAAGCAGCAGTCAAGAGATCAGACGACGTATTGCATTGGGCAAATCTGCTGCACAGGAACTTTTTAAAGTATTTAAAGAATTGAAGAGCAGAGATGTCAGCTTGAGGACTAAGGTGCGCCTGACCCAAGCCATGGTATTTTCAATAACCTCATATGGATGTGAAAGCTGGACAGTGAATAAGGAAGATCGTAGAAGAATTGATGCCTTTGAGTTGTGGTGTTGGAGGAGAATACTGAAAGTGCCATGGACTGCCAAAGAACCAATAGATCTGTTTTGGAGGAGGTGCAATCAGAGTGCTTCTTGGAAGCCAGGATGGCTAAGCTTCGTCTCTCATACTTTGGACACATTGTCCGGAGAGAACAGTCGCTGGAGAAGGATGTCATGCTGGGTAAGGTGGAGAGTCAGAGAAAAAGAGGAAGACCCCCAACGAGATGGATCAGCCAGGTGGCATCATTGATGGCGTCAATTGTGGCTGCGGTAGTGAGGTTGGCCCAGGATCAGACATTGTTTCGTTCTGCTGTGCATGGGGTCGCTATGAGTCGGTTCTGACTCGATGGCACTTGACAACAATAACAACAACATATTATCATTATGACCTATTTTACTGTTCTGTAAAAAAGCAGTGTGCTGACCTCTGAAGATGCAAATGAAGATAAGAAACTTTTTGTTTTCATGGAACTTCCAGTCTAGAGGAAGATATATACACAAGTAGACAAATTAACTGTAATGTACTATCACATATTAAAGATGAATAAATAACCAGAGTCAAGGAAGAAAATAATTAACTGACAAGAAAGGTTTTAGGAGACTTTTTTTTTTTTTTTATGTTTTATTGTGAATTATGTGATAGTTTACATGGGAGAACATTAGTTTTACATTCATCCTATCGTATATCGTTTCATTGCCATGATTACAATCCCCTTCATGCATCATCAACCAACCAAAGGCTATACACTACAAGCCTGCTCCCCGGTCATCAGCACACAGCCCCTCTCCCTCTCTGTATTAGGAGACTTTTGGGGAGCATGGTGGCTCCATACGATAAGCACTGGACTGCAAATCACAAGGTCTAACAGTTGGTCTGCAGGAGAAAGATGAGGCTTTCTGCTCCTGTGAACATTTAAAGCCTTGGAAACCCTATGTAGAGTCTCTGTGAGTTGGAATTTACTCACTAGCCCTTAACAACAAGAGACTTTTGAGACAAATTTTAAGATAGGAGTTCAAAAGTCTGGGCAAAGTACTTCTAGGCAAAGAGCTGACCATGATCAAGTGTTGTTGTTGTCAAGCTCATAGGGTTTCAGAGGCTGGAAATCCTTACAGGAGCAGAAAACCTCATCTTTCTCCTGCAGTATGTCTGGTAGTTTCGAACTGCTGACCTTAAGGTTATCAAGCTGACTTGTAACCACTACGCTACCAGAGCTCCTCAAAGGATGATATAGAGGAACATAAAGGATGGTACATTTGTTGTATATGTGTTTTTGTACAGGGTGGGGGAGGTGGGAATAAAAGTTGAATGTAAGGAGAGAAGCTATTGAAGACCAGAGAAAAGGGAATAAACAAATTAATTTCACGGTAGAAGATTAATAGTCATTAAAGCATTATATAAGGGAGAGAAATAATAAAGATGTCTTTTAGAAAGATCTCTTTGGATTTAGAAGGTGGTAAAGAAGGCCAACATTACATACAGGGAAAGCAATTTGAAATAGTCAAGATGAAAAGAACTTGAACTGCAGTGGAAATGAAGGGAGAAGATAGATTTTAGCAAAAGCTCCCATAAATTGAAGAAGACTGCTGCTTACCTTGGAAGAAGAATTGTTGTTGTTAAGTGCTGTCAAGTTGGTTCCGACTCATAAGGACCCTGTGCAGGGTTTCCTAGGAGCGGCTGGTGAGTTTGAACTACTGACCTTGCAGTTCAAATGGACCTTGCAACCCAGTGCATATCTTACAGGGTCACACAATTAGATAATGGCAATAGAGAAGGTTTAGCATCGGATGTGTGACATTGTAAGGGAAAGCTTGGTAGTGGAATGGGATGGAATCAAGCCAAAAGCATGGCTAAGCATCAATACTTTGTAACTGCTAGGGAAAAAGCACACACTGGGAGCAGAAAGTTGCATTATAATGTGCTGATGACTAACTAAGGACCTCTCTTATCAGTATCCTCAAGAGGAGAAAATTCTGTCCACCACATCCAATACCGGGAGATGAATTCTTGCTTGAAGGAAGATGATTTGGACCTGCTGAATTCTTCAGGTCTGTGGGTTCTTTGAGGGCCTGTAGCCCGGGGGTTTATACAAATAGCTGCATTCTACTAAGGCATTCTACTAAGGCATTCTACTTTGCTTATCAATTGAAGTAACCTAAAAGCATATAATAGGAAGATTATGATGCATAAAAGGTAGAACAAAGGTAAGAATAAGCTAAGTTATTCTTGTTGTTGTTGTTAAGTGTTGTTGAGTCTGAGTCGGTTCTAACTCATAGGACCCTGTGTAGAATTTCCAAGGAGCAGCTGGTGGGTTTGAACTGCCAACAATGTAATTCAGTTTAATGTTGGTTCTGCAGCGCCACACCAGGAGTCTATGCCGACCCATAGCGACCCTGTAAGGGTTTTCAATGAGGGACTGGTGAGTTTGAATCACTGATTTTGTGATTCAAAAAACCTGGCAGTCCAGTGCTTATTCTACAGGACTTGCAATTATGGCAAGTTCTCTAATTGAAGAGGTCTGGTGCTGCGTGTTAATGTGCTGAATTGCAAAGTTGGTTTGAACCACAAGGACAGGAGTTCAAGCTCACCAGCCACTCCTCAGAAACCCTATATAGGGTTGCTATAAGTCAGAACTTACCTGAGGGCACTTAACAACAACAATCACTGCTGACCAAGGAACAAGGAACCATATAGTAAAATATTGTGACTTGGATTTCAATTTGTTAAAGCCAAAATTAATCTTCCAAAAGGCTACCCTCAGTGATATTTTACACAATTTCTTCCATTCCCATCTCCTGACACTCTTCTTTTGCTCATATATTTATCATATTTTTCCCAAGAGTCTAAAAGCTTAACATTTCTACATTTTAATCTCATCAATGAGGTTGTTGTCAAGTGCTGTTAAGTCACTTCTGATTCATAACAACTCTGTATAGAGTTTCTGAAGAGTGGCTCATGAGTTTGAACTGCCAACCTTGCCATTCAAACCAACCTTGCAGTCCAGAGCTTATCCTACAGTGCCATATCAACAGCCATCATTCTTAACAGGACTAGCCTTAGTTCCCATTGCATCATGCCTCTTTGTCTGTCCTCAGACTTCTGTTTAGCACTAGTGCACTAATCATACCTCTGGATAGCATTAATTCACTGGGGTGGTTGAAAAATATCCCAGCATCCACTGTCCTTACTTCACGAAGGTTTGGTGCCTTCTCAATATTAACGTATGAGTGGAGCCTGCTACATGTTTTCAACCCAAGGAATTTGGTGTTTGTTGCTACTATGTCAGAAAACACATATTTAAGGAATGGGAAAGACTTTCTGTGCCTCTTAATTCATACTCACTTACCTTCCTAATTGTGAACAGCATTCTTAGATGCTCAAAGAGCTTCTAAGGCACTTTGAGGGTAAGGCTGATTTAGTTCCAGGTTGTTATATTTTTTTCTTTTCAGAAAATCCTGATGAGTAAGATAGTTTTAATGCTGCTGTACTAACTTCTGTGTCTAAATTTTTTCCTATGTCTGAATGAAAAAGGGAGCTATTCTGAGACAAACTGAGAAGGAAA